ATGTTTTGTTTTTGCATGGGCGAAGTTTTTGCACTAGTGACTTGAGTTTTACTTGATTATTTGACTAAGTTCTAATTATTTTGGTTATTTCGGCTAACTTTCTTATCTGCAGAAAATGTTGATTGAAATGCCTGACCGTGTTGATTGAATTCGATTTGCTGAAATTATCCAGTCAGATTCGACTGCATAACCTTCGACTATATTGGTTTAAGGATACCGGTGGGCGATGACTGGCTCCAACTTTTGTAAAAAGTCCTACCCTCTGTTGGCCAGCTCGCAACACTATTTTGATGCTAAGGCTATTTGGCTTTAATGCTGTTTGAACAATAGGCAATTATTTTACCGTTTACTGGTTCCAAAATTGACCTAACACAATTCTAGTTGAAAAATTTTGGTACAAACGCGACCGATTTTTCATTTTGGTTCTTAACCGAATGGGACTTAACCGTTTAGTGCAAAAGACCCAAAGCAACCTCTGTTGAAGAACTTATTCAATTTTTTAAAACAGTTTTGTCGATTCCATCATCGTTTTTATGCTTAGACAGGCGAGATCCTTTCGTAGATCTTCTGCGGACGGCAAAAACCACTTCTACCACAAATAATTGGAAGTGTGGGGGATCGAAAAAATTAAATATTAGTTTCGAAAAATAGTTGAGAGTGTTATTCAGATCAGTTTACATAAGCGCCTTATTTAGCTTTTCGCTGTTTGATACGTTTTTTTTCCGGGTGTTACGTTTTCGTCTTTTCACGATCAAACTTTTCAAGTAACAGCTATAGCGTCAAACAATCGTGAAAGTTTTTAATTCGAGTCTAGGTTCTTGATGCAACTCAAGGTACTGACAAAATGTGCTTTATTTTTTTTCTGGCGGAAATAATATTTTTCAAAATACTCGTTTCTGAGTTTCTTGCGCTGAAAATGAGCAATAGCTTTTATTTGGTTTTATAGCTTATAAGAATATCTCGAAGCTCAGTGTCAGATAATGGTTTGAGGTTATTGGAGCGATGCCTACTTATTGAGTTGTTTACTGCATCGTGCCAAATAACTATATATGTGCGTGATGCTAGGATATGGTGATGTTGATATTGGACGGTTGCTAAATTTGATGGAGTTAACCGATTGCAACTCGATAACCGCGATAATAGCGAGTTAATGGTGATAAACGATTGCAACTCGTTTTTGGAAAGCGAGCGGTAGCGTTTTTATAGCATAGTTTAAGGAGCTGGCGTCAAGTATGAACATTGGTTGAACCTTTTTTTTGCAAGAATCGCGAACTGGGTTCAAGCAAATCGCGACCTTGGGTCAAGCAAATTGCGACCTGGATTTCCACCACAGCGAGGAGTGAACCTGCTTGTTACGCAAAAGTAGACATTTTTCTTGAGTTGAGACTATGGTACTGGCACTAAGTGTGAGCTAAGGAACTGGCACATGGTATGAACATTGTTTTGCAAGAATATATTTAAATCTCGACCCGGGGTCAAGCAAATTGCGACCTGGCTTTCCACTACAGCAAAGAGTGAACCTGCTTGTTACGCCAAAATAGACAGCTTGCTTGACTTGAGGCTACGTGGTTCAATTGAAGTCTATTCAAACTAATTTTTAGTTTTGCTCCGAACGACTGCATTTTTAAACTTTTTATGCAAAATTTTTGACTTTTATGCAAAATTTTTGAAATTTTTTTTTCATGTTTTTCGAATTTTTAAGTTTTTTTTGAAACTACACGGTTTTGTAAAAGTTTCAAATTTTCCGAAATATAAATCAAAAATTTTTTGGTTTTCAATCGCTCGGCAAGTAACTTCTGACTTTTCTGCTTTGTTTTAGTTTTTTTGAAAGTAAATCAATTAATATCAATTTTTTGGACTTTGGTTTGTTCGGTCTCGCTACGTTTTAGGTGATTGAGTCTTGCTATAACACAATGTTGAATGTTGGCAAAATTTTTTTTTGGTTTTTCGTGGTTTTCGGGGATTTTCGATAAAAGTTTTTCCTGGAGTCATGGTCTACGTTGTTAAAGGTGATAACATACAAGCTATAAGACATTTAAAGAATCAAAGAAATTATATCGAAATAAAGAGCACTTTTTATGGATACGGAGAGGTTATTTGGGTCTTGTTTTTGTACACTAAATTCAGAGTTTTCCTACAGTTTCTTTTTCAGTCCGGCATTTCAAGTTAATTTTTAAGACTCTGTTAAAGTCATTTTAATGTTTTGTTTTTGCATGGGCGAAGTTTTTGCACTAGTGACTTGAGTTTTACTTGATTATTTGACTAAGTTCTAATTATTTTGGTTATTTCGGCTAACTTTCTTATCTGCAGAAAATGTTGATTGAAATGCCTGACCGTGTTGATTGAATTTGATTTGCTGAAATTATCAAGTCAGATTCGACTGCATAACCTTCGACTATATTGGTTTAAGGATACCGGTGGGCGATGACTGGCTCCAACTTTTGTAAAAAGTCCTACCCTCTGTTGGCCAGCTCGCAACACTATTTTGATGCTAAGGCTATTTGGCTTTAATGCTGTTTGAACAATAGGCAATTATTTTACCGTTTACTGGTTCCAAAATTGACCTAACACAATTCTAGTTGAAAAATTTTGTTACAAACGCGACCGATTTTTCATTTTGGTTCTTAACCGAATGGGACTTAACCGTTTAGTGCAAAAGACCCAAAGCAACCTCTGTTGAAGAACTTATTCAATTTTTTAAAACAGTTTTGTCGATTCCATCATCGTTTTTATGCTTAGACAGGCGAGATCCTTTCGTAGATCTTCTGCGGACGGCAAAAACCACTTCTACCACAAATAATTGGAAGTGTGGGGGATCGAAAAAATTAAATATTAGTTTCGAAAAATAGTTGAGAGTGTTATTCAGATCAGTTTACATAAGCGCCTTATTTAGCTTTTCGCTGTTTGATACGTTTTTTTTCCGGGTGTTACATTTTCGTCTTTTCACGATCAAACTTTTCAAGTAACAGCTATAGCGTCAAACATTCGTGAAAGTTTTTAATTCGAGTCTAGGTTCTTGATGCAACTCAAGGTACTGACAAAATGTGCTTTATTTTTTTTCTGGCGGAAATAATATTTTTCAAAATACTCGTTTCTGAGTTTCTTGCGCTGAAAATGAGCAATAGCTTTTATTTGGTTTTATAGCTTATAAGAATATCTCGAAGCTCAGTGTCAGATAATGGTTTGAGGTTATTGGAGCGATGCCTACTTATTGAGTTGTTTACTGCATCGTGCCAAATAACTATATATGTGCGTGATGCTAGGATATGGTGATGTTGATATTGGACGGTTGCTAAATTTGATGGAGTTAACCGATTGCAACTCGTTAACCGCGATAATAGCGAGTTAATGGTGATAAACGATTGCAACTCGTTTTTGGAAAGCGAGCGGTAGCGTTTTTATAGCATAGTTTAAGGAGCTGGCGCCAAGTATGAACATTGGTTGAACCTTTTTTTGCAAGAATCGCGAACTGGGTTCAAGCAAATCGCGACCTTGGGTCAAGCAAATTGCGACCTGGATTTCCACCACAGCGAGGAGTGAACCTGCTTGTTACGCAAAAGTAGACATTTTTCTTGAGTTGAGACTATGGTACTGGCACTAAGTGTGAGCTAAGGAACTGGCACATGGTATGAACATTGTTTTGCAAGAATATATTTAAATCTCGACCCGGGGTCAAGCAAATTGCGACCTGGCTTTCCACTACAGCAAAGAGTGAACCTGCTTGTTACGCCAAAATAGACAGCTTGCTTGACTTGAGGCTACGTGGTTCAATTGAAGTCTATTCAAACTAATTTTTAGTTTTGCTCCGAACGACTGCATTTTTAAACTTTTTATGCAAAATTTTTGACTTTTATGCAAAATTTTTGAAATTTTTTTTTTCATGTTTTTCGAATTTTTAAGTTTTTTTTTGAAACTACACGGTTTTGTAAAAGTTTCAAATTTTCCGAAATATAAATCAAAAATTTTTTGGTTTTCAATCGCTCGGCAAGTAACTTCTGACTTTTCTGCTTTGTTTTAGTTTTTTTGAAAGTAAATCAATTAATATCAATTTTTTGGACTTTGGTTTGTTCGGTCTCGCTACGTTTTAGGTGATTGAGTCTTGCTATAACACAATGTTGAATGTTGGCAAAAAATTTTTTTGGTTTTTCGTGGTTTTCGGGGATTTTCGATAAAAGTTTTTCCTGGAGTCATGGTCTACGTTGTTAAAGGTGATAACATACAAGCTATAAGACATTTAAAGAATCAAAGAAATTATATCGAAATAAAGAGCACTTTTTATGGATACGGAGAGGTTATTTGGGTCTTGTTTTTGTACACTAAATTCAGAGTTTTCCTACAGTTTCTTTTTCAGTCCGGCATTTCAAGTTAATTTTTAAGACTCTGTTAAAGTCATTTTAATGTTTTGTTTTTGCATGGGCGAAGTTTTTGCACTAGTGACTTGAGTTTTACTTGATTATTTGACTAAGTTCTAATTATTTTGGTTATTTCGGCTAACTTTCTTATCTGCAGAAAATGTTGATTGAAATGCCTGACCGTGTTGATTGAATTCGATTTGCTGAAATTATCCAGTCAGATTCGACTGCATAACCTTCGACTATATTGGTTTAAGGATACCGGTGGGCGATGACTGGCTCCAACTTTTGTAAAAAGTCCTACCCTCTGTTGGCCAGCTCGCAACACTATTTTGATGCTAAGGCTATTTGGCTTTAATGCTGTTTGAACAATAGGCAATTATTTTACCGTTTACTGGTTCCAAAATTGACCTAACACAATTCTAGTTGAAAAATTTTGGTACAAACGCGACCGATTTTTCATTTTGGTTCTTAACCGAATGGGACTTAACCGTTTAGTGCAAAAGACCCAAAGCAACCTCTGTTGAAGAACTTGTTCAATTTTTTAAAACAGTTTTGTCGATTCCATCATCGTTTTTATGCTTAGACAGGCGAGATCCTTTCGTAGATCTTCTGCGGACGGCAAAAACCACTTCTACCACAAATAATTGGAAGTGTGGGGGATCGAACCCCAGACCTTCCGCATGCAAAGCGGACGCTCTACCACTGAGCTACACCCCCGTTGTATATCGATTAGTTAGTGAGATATAAGAAGCAAACATGAGACAGCGTCACACTATTATTTACTTTCATTATTATACATCAACAATACAATACAGTTCCAATTCAAAATGTATGTATATTCAACGACGTCCTAACCGAATGTTGAATTGGTATGTGTGTTTAGTGCATTAAAGGACAGTCGTTTCGCTCCTATTAGTGACGACGAAATCTCCAAACTTGTAGTATCAGTGTCTGTTTTACTGCACTTCGAGGGAGCAGACAGTTGGGACGACTGGGAGGTAAAGTCTAGCTCTTAAATAAAGCAAGAGGTTCAATCATGCTCGCGTTGTTGCTAAAATGCGCCAAATATATTAAATATGCGGAAGAGTAATATCTATCGGCTCTTTTCCACTCCCCCACCTTTCAAAATATCGATTGTTTTGTCTGTTTTACGTCTATATTACCGCTAAATGCGTGATTTTACTATGTCAAGTATGAAGAACAAATCTCTCCACAGTTGTCAGTTTGTTCACCACTCCAAATTCCATTGCATTATGGCAGCGCTAAATAAGCTTTTCAAATTTGAATTTGAAAGGCGCCACATCTATCTTCTGCCGTCGAGATTGGACATTAACCAAATTAGTATTGAGTCTTGCTTGATAAACACACTGGTTCTGATTGCTCTAAGCTCTTGTGGCGCAATCGGCTAGCGCGTTCGGCTGTTAACCGAAAGGTTGGTGGTTCGAGCCCACCCAGGAGCGGACTATTCTTTTGCAATTCACAGTCATAATATCTTTTTCAGATCGGCCTGCATGGCCTAAGACTAGAGATAGAAACGGACAGGGGTCAGAAGAAAACTGCAACATATCTACCTGAAGTAGCCTCGGAGCAGCGTGAGTTTTTCCAATATGATATGTATTTCGCATCCTCGTTTCGTAATCGCAGCATGTGTGCGAGCCCAGGGATGGCAAATGCGAGCCCTGTACAAGTATGATAGTGATAGTTGGGTCCCTTAATTTTAGATGGGTCCCCTAGGAAAAAATTTTGGCTTTTTTCTTTCCCCCACCTGACATAAGCATTAATTTTCTGGGTACTACTATGATAGAGTGGTCCCACGAAAAAAACAACTTTCAAAAAACTTGTCAGAAACTAATATTTTGTGTATATCAAGAAATGGCTCTTTTTCCTCCTGTTCACATTGTTCGAAGTTACTGTTCACATTGTTCGATTGTCATGAAAATTGACATGTAAACTAATTAGGCCATGACAATCATATTTGGTCCTCATAATTAACCTTCTAAAACCACTCGTTAGACCATAAAAATAATGTTTGAGTGAGGTGGGGGGAAAAGGAAAAAGAGCCCAAGAAATATGCTCGCCTCAACTTATTTTACGGTTTAACAACCATAATTGGGTTAACTTATTTGTCATCAAAACTCAATTTTGGCATTTTTAAAAAAAAAAGTTTCCAACTTAAAATGACGAGGGATGTTTTTACAAAGTACCAAGTACAGAGTCCTACCCTCTGTTGGCAAGCTCGCAACACGCTGGCGCGACTGCGGCAGTGACTTTTCTGCTGTTTAGTTTTTTTTATGAACAGTAGAAAATTAACGTAATAATTCGTTGGCTCACAATTCGACCAATCAGAAATCGAGTTGAATAATTTTGGTACAAATGGGACCGATTTTTCATTTTGAATCCTTTCAAATTGAACCTTGCAATTCTGAGAAATAAAAAAATGAGAAATTGAACCGAATACTAATTGCCGAGCAAATTGTGAAATGTGAGGAAAAACTGTTATTTATACATGTTTTTTGGGATCTTGACTATCCGCCCTTTGCTAAAGGGAAAGATTAGTTACTAGGTACAAAATTCGCATATGCTTAACCGTTGGGGGTGGCAATTCGTTACTTGGTACCAAAGGGGGGAAGGATAGTTGAGAAGATCCGTTTTTTGGGTATAATAGTCTTTACAAGGTTTGGATGAAAAGTTGAGATAACGCCAACCAATTTCGACAATATTTGAATTTTGTGGTTCGATTTTTTTGCTAGTCGAGCTTTATGCTTATCGATACACCGCCGTCCATAACCCAGGGCAGGTCAAAATTTAATTGGACAAAAGAAAATTAATTAGCGGTTAATTGGAATGTTAAAAATCGAATATCAACATTAATTGGCACAGCCCAAAATTAAAAAACAATTAGTTTCAGGCACGAAACATCAATCTTGGTTAACAATTTTTGACACGAGTTCAGTCCAACTATTTTTTGCTGATTTTCTGAAATAACTGCATTTCCAGGTTATGAGGGTTTTCTCGCTGTGGTGTCACTGAATTTTTTAAATTTGAATTCGTTCTTTTTTTTCTTCAGAACGAATTTAAGTTGTACGGTTTTGAAGTTTTGTTATGGCCGAACATTCAAGCCGAACATTTTGATAAAAAGTCAAGAAATAGGATTAATAGGAAAACTGTTTTGAAGACTTTCTCAATTTCATGAGCTTTCTTTGCCATTTATTGTTTTCATTTTTTTTTGAGCGGTCCAATTGATCTTTGTTTTAATTTTTAATATTCCTACAGATGTTCCTAATTAAAACATTGTTGAAAGGGACGTTTTCATGAGTATAATTTATGCATCATTTCAAAATCCGGCTGATCTAACTATCTGATGCCCCTCTCAAGTGGTGCATCGTTATGAGGAACGCTTATTATGAAGTAAACTTTCCTAAATTTTTGAAAATGAATATTTTTGAAATTTTCGCGTTTTGAGATGCTCGTAAAGTTTAAATTTCGAAGTCTCTTTGGCTTGTTGTCCTTGACCCGTGTTATGGTGGTCTCGAAAAGCCAATGGGGGACGTTAACTTGGTCTTGAGTTCAAATTTTCGTCTTATCAGAATAGAGAATTTTACTAAAAGCGCTTAGTAAATTTAATTTAAATTGAACGCTGGGGCTGTGATAGGTCACTTGAGAATAAGATGCCTAAAGGTCTCAAACTGACATTTAGCTCACCCAATTCTGTTTTTTAAATCGTAAAATAAGCTGAAGCGAGCATTTTTCTTGATAAAAACAGTATAGTAATTACAATTTTTTTACTCGACATTTGGCGAGATTTTTGAAATGAATAATTTATACTTGAATTAGTATTCAAATTATTACATGCGAAATGCATGCGATACCTGTCTAACATAGTTGCTTTTTCTAGGGACCACTCTGTCATAGTTCATATTAGTACCTCTGTGGTGAAGTCTCTTATCGTGGTAAATTTGGCTGCGGGGGGGGGGGGGGGGTGTTAACTTGATCCCGAAAAATTAGTCTACGTTTGTTTTTGGTCGGTCAAATTGATATTCTGAGCTCTCATGAATCAATGAAGACTCTCTTTTGTGCCATTACGTTCGGCGGTGGCGCCAATAGGGGCTTTAAAAAAATCTGGTGTTTGTCCACGGCCAAGATTGGATGTAAAGTTGAAGACCACAGATCCCCTTTTTGTCTTTTGATTGAAAATAACCGTACCCATCTTTGATCTCTGCCACCTTATAGCGTGCGTTGACCCTAATTGGTTCGTGACCTTGAGTCATCGATATGGACTTAGATTGGACCATTGATTCGTTTTAGGCTGGACTAAAAAGCAGACGATTGATTCCTTGCTGCACAAGAGTGGCTACACGGGACGTATCAACTCCGACGTCAGAAACAGAATCAAACTGACTCGCTACAAGAGCGAGAAAGTGACTCTGTCCTATGCAGAGTACAGGGACAGGAAAGCATACAAACTGCAGTTGAAAAATAACCCTCCGCAGTCATTAGTTCTCACAAACGGTGTCTCGAACGCCCAATCATCCGATGATAGTCCTATGAGGAACCATCATCAAATGGTGAACGGCTCAGCGGCATCATTAGTTTCGCCAACCTCAAGCGGTGCAAATTCGCCAATGAAGGCGTTGTCTATCAATCCTACTAAGACATCTCACAACCAACAAGCCTCCTCCTCAAGTAACTGGGGCTCCTCGGGAGTAGGAGGACAGCAGCAGAGTAGTTCTGGAGGTACATATCGACGCAGTGGCGGCGGAGCCTCGCCGCGGCACGGAGGCGGTCAGAGAGGAAGTATGTCGGACAGTCATCCCTTGTAGTATTACATAATAGCTCCCAACATTACATAATCGAATTCAGTTCAAGCATGGAAACGGACGATAGAACGAATAACTGAAAGAAACTAGCTTAAAGTATCTGACAATGTTATCGCTATTTGTTGATCCATGTTGATGTTACTTCGCTCTGCTAACGAATTTGAAATAAACCTTAGTTAAAGGTAAGGTTACTACCTTACCTGCTACGAAACAAAGTTAGAGTCTAAAGGAATGCCGAAAATTTGTTAAAAGATGAAAAATAAAATGAAACTTTAGCCAAACATACAAAAAGGCTGCCTATTGAAATCGGTTTAAATTGACACCAAGTTGTCTTTTCCAAGTGTATTTGTGATTATGACTGACAAGAGTTATCATAGACAGCCTTTACGTTTTTCAACAAAAGGTGCTTCAAATTTACGCCATCCCATCTGTAAGGAAAGTAGCCTTCCATAAAACCGTCAAATTTATATCTGTATCTAAAAATGCTCAAAAATCAAACGCTGCTCTTGAAACGCTTCTGCTCAAATCAATCCATCAAAGTTTACAAGTTTGTCGCCTTTAATCTCTTTGAAATGTATCATGTATTCTACTCAGAGGTCTTTTTGACTACCCCCCCCCCCCCCCTCTCTCTCTCATAACCACCACCTAACTAAATTCTGACTTATCTACTTCTGTTGAAATCCAGTTTCTTTATTCCTCTCAGGACTTTTTTAAGTGCCAAATCATTTTTGAAAGAAACTGATGATTGAAACCTGACGTTACATGTTATGTATGAAATGTTGCTGCTTTTAGTTAATTGTCTTCAGTAAAAAGTAGGGTAGCTTAAGAGATTCCCATTCCCTCAATAAAAAATAATTGGGTTCCGGAAAAATCCAAACTTGAAGCAGACATAATTAGACACCCTAAATTTGAAAGTTATTACTAGCAAAGAATTGGTCTTCGGAACAATTTAATTAAGGTACAATTTGCCTAAAAGATATACGGGGCATGCTTGCCTTTTCAAGAGACTTGCATGCTTCCCATTTTTTAGAGAGCCGCCTATCATAATTTACCTATGCTTAATTCAATATTGATGCTAGTGTCTTGTCTGCTGAAGTTTGGCAGTTGAGTCAACTAATTGCTAGAAGTGCCGTAAATATTATTTCAACTTTCGAATCAATCTTTCTCTGTAAGTACTCAATATTGTTTTATCATCGATTAGCTTAAGACTTTTCTATGTCTATTATTAGGCTTATTTTGTTCTTGTTTCGCCATTGACATTCTCTTCAATACAAATTCAAAATAGCATACTGTTTAATTGATGTTTTTGAAATAGCATTTTTCTATAAAGTACCTTAAAAAAATCTTAAAATGAGACATAACTTAGTTAACAAAAATGATGTGTATATCAAAAGCAAAAAGCTGGATACTTGTGCCGTGATGATACTGAATAGTACTTTTTGTTATTTACACTTGCGATTTACATTTTCTTTTTTCCAAACTAAGTCGGAGATAAAAGTGCTACTATTTGGCTTTATTTTTAATTTATTACATGCAAAATTGTGTCTTTTTTATTTGGTGCTATTTTTGCTGCATCGAATTGACAATTTTAGCTGCGCTACTGGTGGCTAGTTTTTGGGGATTTTGAGCATCCGTGGCCGAGTGGTTAGGGCGCGAGACTTAATGTGCTAGGTCGCAGATTCGAATCGGACATGTAGCCGAGTTTTTGCTAATTCGAGGCTTATTTCTACTTTTTCTTATTTCCTTTGATAGAGCTGCTTTTTGGTCGTGTTCTTGCAAGTGTTCGCGAAGCGCAGCTTCGCCTATGTTAAATCTTGCAAAAGATCGTTTGCATTTTGAATCATTTTTGTTGGCACAAACGATCTTTTGCAACATTCAAACTTTGCTTAAAATGATGGGAGAAGGCCTTTGAACAGCCTATATTTGCCAAGGAATCGCAAAATGAAACTTCAAACTAGTTTTATTTTTATTTAAATCAATTTTTCTGCTCCTAAAAAGCTAAATAAAATTCTGGTAAAATTAACGTTACTTTTCGCTTTACTCGCTCGAAATTATACTTAAGCTCAAAGTTTAGTGTCGTTCGAATCATGTCTGAAAAAAACACAGCCTAGGAACACTATATTTTTCCATAATGTATTTATTTTCATCCATAAATAAAGCACGTGGAAAAGAATAAAGAGGAACTTAGTATTCGTGTGTTTAAATTTTTGTTGCGACCATTGAAAGTTTTTCTTCAGACGTGATTCGAACGACACTAAATTGATCAAAAATCGAGGAAAATCGTTACGATTTTTTGAGTTTAAGTTTAGTTTCGAGCGAGTGAAGCCGAAAAGTAACTTCCGTTTTATTACACAAGCAATGCTTATGTTATAGTTTGAACTATCAAGTGGCAAATTTTGTTGCGACGCAAATATTTTTGCGATTAAATGTGTTCGTTTTGATCAATAACCAGCTATTGAGTACAGCACAGCCAATGCTAAGGATTTTAACACAGTCTATTTTTGTTCCGAAACGAAAGTAACGGAATATTTGTGATCGGGTGGTTTTTTCTCCAGACAAATTTTAACTTTTTAACTAGCCATTTTTGTTGGGATTTTTAAAATATCATTCAAAGAGTATTGTTGTCCTGAGCTTAAATTTGGAAAGATATTTCACCTGTGATCACTTTTCGTAAAGTTATGGGAATTTGTTCACGCGTAAGCGGAGATTTAATCCGTCATAGAAACCGTTCCAAATTGGTTGAAGGAAGCTTATTTGCCATAATTGATTTGTTACTAGGAGCGAAATGTATCACTTTGTACTTAATATGGTGTGTGGAGGGATGATTTTCCCAAAAAATCTCAATTAAAAAAGTTCCATTTTATTTTCATTACATTTACTTGATGTTGTTACTGCTCCATAGACTGCTCTATAAATTGAGGCATGTTAGTTGGTGAAATTTTGTTTTCAAATTGGTACTGCTAATGCGTTATAATGCGCGAAATTTTGAAGACTCAAAGTGTTACTCATTCGGTTTTCCCCAGTAGGGTTATCGGTCATATTTTTTCTTGTGCATGCGAAGTGCAACTGTGCCTCTGTGTAAGAATTTCTATTCCCTGGCAATGAAGGTTCTCTTTTAAAAAAATTAAATTAATTGGGCGAAAAATAAGAAAAATTTGTTTTCTAAAATGTTTCTTTTTCTTAGTTTCAAAAAACGACTTCAACTTTCAAGGCTTTTGTTCAGTTTGCTCAAAAACCTACACGACACCACGAACAAAAAGCGACTCGTATTGGGTAGGAAAAGAGTGTAAACGATTATGATCGGGAAACTTTGTGCTACTTGCACAGCGGCCGGCAATACTTGATTTTTTTTTAATTTCTCCGTTTCTTTTCTTTTGTTTGTCAAATTTAGCGTCGATTCTATGATAAATAGTCGTCTAGAAAATGACTTAAAAGTGATGTAAAGCTATAACAAAAGTAATAAAGCTTTAGGAAAGTTCATTAGGTCATTTTTATTTCTGAAGGAAAATGACTTGACTTGGCGCAAATGGACAACGTAAAGGAATTTTGCTCAAGAGATACGGATTTTTTTATTTCTGCATATGCGAGAGCAAACGACTTGTAATCAGGCATTTTCAATTATAATCAGGCATTTTTTATAGTCTAGACGTGACAGAAACAAAAAATAATCCAAAAATTTATTGTTTAGCTTTTTTTCGGCCTGAAGTGAAGTGCTCAAAACCACTCGGTTTGTTGTGGTAGAAAAGTTTGAAAATCTAAGCTGAAGTGCTCAAAAATTGTTCATGACAACAATTATTTCTTGGAGTTTTTGTTTTCGTGTCAATGGGCACACGAATTGTCGACTGACTGGCCGTTCTATTAATATTAAAAGGTTCTCCAAACTAGCTTGTAAGTTTCATTTTGCGGTTCATTGGCAATGAAGGTTTTCTTGAAAAAAAAAATATATTTTTGCGAAAAATTTGATTTTTTTTTCAAATTTTTTTTTTGCGGTATACTTTTTGAAGGCGAATGTTCTCCATTATACCTAAATCCGAATCTTTCTCGGATTTATTTTGTTTTGCATACGCAAGAGCAAGTGACTTGTAATCAGCCCTTCAAAAGAATTTTTTTTTACAAATCTAACCTTTTTAATTTGCTTTTCTGTTGAACCCTAAGAAAACAACTTTCAGGAGCTTTCCCATTTCGTCTAGACAGGACGCTGAAATAAAAAATAATCCGAAAAAAAAACAGTTGGTTGTGTCACGGAATTTTCTTGTGCTGAAAGCAATTTTTATGGTAGCTGCAAGTAATTTTGAGTTGTTTCTGTAATTTGTGAACCTACTAATGCTGACTTGAAAAGTTATTGCTTAGAAGCTTTGTTCGGCCTGAGGTTTTTATTTTGAATAACTCAGATTTGATTGTTTTCAGTATTTTTGTTCTCGATATTGACATCTATTTCTCCGCTCAAATTTGTATATTATTGAATTTCTGCATTTTTGGATCAGCTTTGCGCCTTAATCATGATCAATTGACGACAAAATAAGGTGCTGATTTTAAATTAGAAGAAAAGAGGTTTCACTCAAAATCATTAAAATTTCCTAATTTTTCATAAAATGACTAGTCGTAAAAGGCGATTATGCGTTTCAAGTAGATGATTCATAACGTAAACAAAAAAACCAAGTTATTGTCAACGGAACATTAAGACAACAAAAATAAAGGCTTTTAGATTATTGTGTCATTCTTATTTGAATTGTCCCAACTGTCTGACTGGATTTCAATGCAGAGGGTTTTGAGAGCTATTTTAAAAATAGCTTTGGTTTTTCGGTTATTCCAAATATCCGCATGTGACCTAATTTACTCAACAAGTTACTTTTTCGAGAAGTATTTTTCGAGAAGGTGTTAAGGCTAAATTTCATCGGTTTGATTTTCGTAAAAACTCGTCTAAATTTTGAACTCGCCTAAAGATTTAATATGAAACATGCGAGATTTCATTGGCACTATTCTATTTGATTGATTGGACCGATCATCTTTGACTGATTATTTTCTGAAAGTATAACCGAGTTTAAGGAGTGATAAAAAATGAACATTGAGATAATAAACAATTTTGAAGGGTTCATCCGACCGATCCGGCTTCAAATTTTGTTAGATATATCGCTGAAGTTAGTTTTTGATTATAAATTTCAGTTATTATTCACTATCAGATATTTTTTAATAAGCAACTTATCGTCTCTTCTTTTGGGTCTAAAAACAAATTATAACTAAAAATAATTATATAAATTCAGAAATTGTTTCAAAATTCACAGTAGTTGTAATTTTTTGTACTACTTGCGCAGCAACAAGCAATTCGTGTTGTACCGGTTTTTGTTTTCGTGTGCGTTATAAAAATTTTGCACCCGAAATTTTTCATATTAGTCTAATTTAGTGCGAGTAAAGCGAGTGCAGTAGTAGTGCGATTAAATTGAATAATGTAATGAATAGATTTTGAATTTTTTGTAATTGAAACAAAGTTTTCTACAAAAGGAATGTATAAAACTTTACTTTTTTGATAAGTTTGTTGAGTTTTCTATTCGTATTTTGAAAAAAAAATTGTCTGAACTTAATTCAGTATTACTTTGAATTGTAAAATATGAAAAAACGGATTTTTGGAAAGAATTACCATAAAACGACAATTGGAAGAGCAATTTTTTTTAAGTTTAAGTTTTTTTCACTATTTTAGTGGACTTTTAACTATTTTTGAGGGCTGTAGAAGTTTGTGGCGTGGCCGTAAACAACTTTCTTCTCCGTGAACAATTTTTTTCACAAAATGGACGAGATGAAATGGTAATCACTTTATTAACACCATGGTTAGCTGTTGCTCGGAGTTTTTTCAGAGTATTTTTTCGGTGCCAAAAATTTCGAGTCGGCGTTCTAAGGTATGATGTGGTAGTGATCGATTTCTAATATGAAGTTTTGGAAATACTTAAATCAAACTTCTAGACTCTTCAAAAAATTGGAAACAATTAAACACAAGAAAATTTTCAAAATGGTTTGTTTTTCTCAGTTCATGTTACAGAATGGGAATTTTTTTGTTGTTTTTGGTTGTTCGATCGGTTGTATTTATTCCTTTTTTGGTGCAGACAAAATAACCCATTAGTTTTTCTCAATTTGTTCTAAGCTCAAAAAACGTTCGGCAGTCAGTTCATTTTTTTCTTAAGCTGAAGGAGTTTTTTTGAGTTTTTGACTTAAAATTGTTCTTTTCTCACTCCTTTTTTAAAGTAGCCATTTTATTTGAAGTATGATGAAATCCTACCAAATCAGAATTAAATTTCTTGTTTTACTCAGTCAACTTGAGTTGCTGCCAGCTACTTTTCCTGAAAATTGTAGTGGAAGAAAATTTTAATTTTATTTTTTTTCCTTTGTCGATTCAAAATCCTTGTCTTTTTTAGCAATAGGAGTTAAATTGCGTTTTAGGAATTGAAATCGGCGTTTGTTTTCGGCTTCAGAACTTTTAAATCATCTGTTTGTTCTTAGCAGCATCTCTTTCTTGTTTCTAAATCTCTGTTTGATTTAAGTTTTTTTTTGAGCAATTTCTTTTTAAGCAAGAAGAATAATGATTAGATTTTGTAATTGATTTGAAATTGTTTTACAAAAATTTGTTATTCCTAGACAAGTTTTGTTGGGAGAGGTGTTTTGTTTGTTTAGTCTTAAATGTTGCAAAATGATATAGAAGATGTTCGGTGATTCTATATTGTCTTGTCTGAAAAATTGCTTATCTCTACAAATCGCGTGTATTCTGTATAGCTGGCCAGTTTAAAACGTCAGTTGAAGTAAAATTAACTTTGTTACTTGTTTAATTTTCAAAAATGTTCTACATTTTTCGAATTCAAATCTTATTCGATAAAACTTTTTTCTTGACATGCTTTTCCATCGCAAGTGGTTGCCTTTCGTTGCGTTTTTTAATTGCCGTATTACGAGAGTATAACTTTATGTCCGAATATTTTTAGCACTTTTTCTTAACCTTTTTCTCAATTTATTCTAAAGTACAACCAATTTATTCTAAACTATAAACTATAAAATCCATCGCTGACAGTATAGACAGTTTCAAGCAAAGCCACTCAAGCAAAAAATTGGTTAAAAAAATTGCATTCATATAAAACATAAAGCAGCAAAAATTGAATCCATATTGAAACCATAATTCAAGGTGATGAGCTGAAAAGTCTTAATTGGTCTTTTTAAATATGATCTATCCCGAGCCGAAAACAGACTTCAAATACACAATTTTAGTTATTTCGCCTTGTTTTTGTTTAGCACAAAACCCAACCCAGCTGCCAACTGCAATTTAAATTATTTACATCTTCAATCATTTCGCATTACGAGGCCAAACTGTGTTGTTTCTGAATTGAAAGCGGATTCCGCAACAAGGAAGCTCTCTTATTAAAAAAAGCTACCATAGAACTCGTCACTGCATTTCCAAATGTTCGGTTTTCCAAAAGTCGTCGGGCACTTTTTTGTCAGTTCATAGTAATAGCCAGAAATCTTTTCAGAGAAATAACTTATTTTCGAACCGCGTACTCAATCATAAATTTTTTTCGGACAGATTCAATGGTCTCGTTTTAGACATGCAAGCCATTTAGACGACTGTAATTGGATTGTTTTGATACAGGTTGCTTTACCGATGTTGGACATCTTCGTATTGTTTCCTTGTGATGACTATAAAAGTTGGTCATTTTATGATTGACACTTTCTTTGTAAAATTAAGACGAGTGTAATATCATTCTAAATAGTATGACAACGAGTGTAATATTAAAGGCCTCTCTCAGTATGTTTTACTACTGTTTCACAAGAAAGCGCTGTTTCACAAGAAAGCTACACAAGAAAGCGCTCTAATTTTTTCGCATAAACACCCATAAACAATCATAGCTGGCACCCACTTTTGTGAGGGTTTGAAGAACTAAGAATATTTGACCATAGAAGTTGAGGGTCTGGACATATTTACTCTTGTAGCAGAGATTATCATACTAAATTCTTATGGTTTCTTCTAAAATTTACTTGAAACAAATTTCAATTGAAATTACAAAAAAAATCACTGAATGCTTAAGATGAAGTTGGAAAAAATGGAGTTTGAGAGCATTATCGTGAGGAAATAACGTAAAGTCTTAAAATAAAAATACCCATATAACAAAAATAAAACAATTTAAATTGGGATGTTAACGAATCAGTGTCATCAGCGAGATTCAAAAACAATCAATAGCATCGGAGAGAATCAAAAACATTTGATAATTCAAACAAGCACTAGAAGAAAACAAAGCAATCAAGAACGAGTGAAGTTCAATCGATACAAGCCAGAATTAAACATAGCCAGCAGGCATTTGTAAAAGAGTCATGAACGCAAGGAAATAGAAAAACTACTGGTCTAATTTGTAAAAAATTTAACCTTTCGAATTACAAATAAAAATTAAAGTGGAAATGAAAGGAAATGAAGTAAACAGAACGCGAAAAATCTATTTTGATTGTGAATAAATAAAGACTTTTTCCTGAAAAAAAGTCTTTAGGAACCATGACCTATCTTGTGTTTTCTTCTCAAATTATGGTGCCTCAAGGAATGCTGGTTTGACAACGAGTGTATTATTAAACTAAAGGCCTCTCTGCATGTTCTATAATTGTTTCACAAGAAAGTGCAACAAAATTGATTGCATAAATTAGATTGCAACCAGATCTGAAGATATATTACGAAGGGAAACTGCTTGTTTGGCTAAGGAGTCGAGGGTATGAGATAATACTACTTCTAACTCTAATGTTTCTGAAAATTTTACTGGAAACAAATTTTGAATGAAAATAAATTGAATTCAAAATTTATTTTATTCAAATTGAAACATTTTTGGTCCTAAATATAACACATGAATTAAACGATGAGTTCTGTGATGGCTTCAATCCTCATTTTGAGCTCCTTCATTTTTTCCTCAGCAGCTGCCTCATTTTTGAAGTTTCTGAAGTCGATGTAGAGAAGAGGTGCCAATGGAAGGGACATTTCGCCTTCAGGGGGCCAAAACTGAAACAACCGAACCTTTAAACTTTTATAACCCTGTTTGCAATTGTGACAATAGATTTTTCCAAAGCTGCGCAGCACGATCACAACCAGCAACAAATGCTCAAGAAATTACGAAAACGTTCTAAAATATGATGAAAAAAATCATTAGAAATGAAATTTAACACAGAGGCGAAGCGGAGCTTCGCATCACTTGCAATATAAAAATGAATGACTATGATTACCAGCAAATGAAAATACAAATCAAAAATTGAAAAAAAAAAACCTTCAAAACAATATTTTTTTTGTCAAAAAATTACAAAAACTGCAAGAAAGGGCAAAAAAATTGCTGGAACAAAATTACCTCAACCATTAAAAACTTAATAAAAAATTTTTCAAAATGCTTAAAAGAAACTGAACCTTTCTGCAGATATAAGCCGTCAAAAATTAGCAGAAACGAAATCGATTCACTGGAATCGAGCTTCTGGGATTTGTCGTGTCAAGGATGGGTGTGTTACCAATGCACCAAATGCACAGAACACTCCTTGATTTTCTAATAAAAACAGCTTCAAAAATTTTTATTGAACAGCATGAAACAAAAATCAAAAAATAGCAAAAAAAATAGGAACTCGATTACTGCCCAAAACCGGAAAACACTGAAATGTTTTTTTTTTAATTGAGTTGCAACTAAGCCGACAGACAAAGTAGACAAATAAAGTCTTCCGCTTGCAAAAAAACAGGTACTGGCCGGATTCGAACCACTGACCATTTTCTCTGCAGGCACATTTCGCCACATGCACGAACTAAACGTCTGACTATTGATTTCATGTGAGCCAAAGGTAAAATGATTCAAGTGATTCTGTTAAACTAGTTGTTAACCCAAAAAAAGTCTAAATTCCGATTTGATAACGCTTGCTAATCGCAAGCGTAAAGAAGTTCATGTATGTTCTATAAACGTTAATGTAACGCAGAATTACTATTGAAAATACTCAGAAGAACTTGTTACACTTTTTTTCATGTATGTTCTCTAAGCGTTAATGTAACGCAGAATTTCTGCTGAAAATATTCAGACGAACTTGATACATTAAAAATAAATAGCAAACAAACATTTTTGGGGTTCTGTTTGTGAAGCGGCAGATCTTCAATCACCAGAGGGATCATCGGAAGCCCCAGATTGTTCGCGAGAGAAACTTCCGCACAACACGATTTGGACCTAGAGTACTTTTCTGTGACCACACAAACAACCAGCTTTGTATTCCGCAATGCTTCGTCAAGAGCCGAATTCAGTTTTTGCTTTGTGGAAAGCTGTTTGTCAATAAAAACTGAATACTTAAACGTATGTTTAAGCGTTTTATACAGACTATGAGCGAATGCTTTGCTGTCATGATTGTACGAAATGAAAACATCGTATCGCATAACATGTTCACGTGACTTCATGAATTCCCAGAATCGTCTTTTCCGTTCCGAGTGTTGTTCGAAAAGCTGTTCATGGCTTGAGTAATAATCCTTTCTAGCCATCTAAAATAATTGGGGAAAAATTTTGTCAAAATAAACTGGAGATTCAGGGCGCTCATAATTAAAACAGTTTTTTTTGCATTTTATTATTTTTAAAGATTTGCTAAACATTGTTTTCTAAATCCGAGACGACATTTCTCCTTTTTCAACTACCCTCTGTCAGTTACAGTTATCGAGAAAATGAAGAAAAAAATTAGGAGAAAAAGCATCGAAATGAACCAAAGACAAAATTTTACAGAATTATCTAACCAGACAAGCCAGTTCTTACAGGTATTTCCAGCAACAAACTAGTTCCATCATTGATTCCATTTTGATCACAACCATCGGTTGGTTCCCCCGGTTCCTCTAACTGGTCTATCGCGGAATCCACCGTCATCTGGACGCCCGACCTCCTTCGCTTGTGCTTCTGTCTCCAAGGGTTCTGCATGATCACGGACAGTTTGGAACCCTTCCTAGCCTGTGATTCGTCCAGGAGGGGTTGAGTGCTCCTTTCAGAGGGTGTTGCACTACTGGATGCGTTTGGGAATAAACCTCGCTCAAACTGGTTCCGGTCATCAACTTGAGTTGTGAATGAGTTACGCTCTTAAAAAAACCATAGTATAAAACCTTCATCTATCTTCACGCATTGTTACAGGCGATAGCAGACCAAATGGGTGGGTCAAATTTGGTTATAATTGAATGAAAACCTCTGTGAGGTCTAAATTGAAGTGCTCAAAACTCTTTGTGAACTCTCTGTGAGTTCAAATCTTTTTCGATTTGGGAAAATTATTAAGTAGATGCTTAGAATTTTCGAAACCTTCGCAATGCGGGGATACAGATCGATCTTGCTTCTTATGCGTCAAAATACTTCTTATCACAAACAACAAAGCAACATTTTACTCACAAGCGAAGCTGAACTTGCAAAAAACTATCCAACCCCCTTCTCCAGAAACTTTTTAACCCTCGCCGCCTTCAACAAAGCGCTATTCTAAGCACAAATTGATGTTTCTCGTCTCTAATACTTTAACAAGACCTCCATGCCTCTATAGCCTCTAATAGCTTGCCTCCATTCAAATTGCCGCCTACGCTGTGCGTTGTTATAAACTGGTAAATGGTATGGCGAAAATTACAATACCCTGTATGTTTTATTATCCTCAACATCCATTACAAATTACCTCTAAATTATATGCATATACTTTGAAAAAACGAAGCATAGAAAATCGACACAAAACGTGCTCCTTAGGTTGAAAAAATGAACTCAAGATATACACAGGAGGTGCTTGTGTGAAAATGTTTAACTCTTTAGATACTTCTCAAAAATCCGTTACCTGTCTTTTTTTGATTTTTTGAAACCTCGAACTTAAAAAAATAGATTAAATTGTCACAAATGTTTATCTCATAAAGGGCATTTTTTAAACACATCCAAAAGTTGGTAAGAAAAACATCAACGAGCAACAACATCGAAAAAATCGTGAGGCAACAATTCGTAAAAAAAATCAGAAATGAAAACGCAAAAAACTCGAACGTGAACAATTATCAAAACTTAAAACGAAGAAACAAAGACAACAAGAAGTTATAAAAGAGTCACTGATCTCAAAGAAACAGAGAAAATGGATAAAATTAGTTCAAATCCAGCAACTATTAACGATTGAAACAGATTTCACAAAACTAACCCAGCTAGAGAAAACTATATCAAAAGGCAAGTTATTTTTTCTTTCGGAAATCAAAAAACTATTCTCACTTTTAAAACAAAAGTCGTTCAAGTCTTTGTGTCCTTGCCATGCTTTCAGCAAATTAAATTCAATTGCAATTCAAAAAAAAAATTATATGTCAATAAGCAAAAAATCAAATATGGGGGTGCAATATGAGAGTGCAACTCAGAGAATACAAAATAGGGCCTTAAAGCTATTTGAATTTCAAGAACAACAAAATATTAACACTTTTTGATGAAATAACCCAATTTGAGAAAACTGGATCAATTGTTAAATTTTTCCGCAGGGAAATTTGAAAGAAAAATCAACTTCAGATATTTCTCAAAAAACCGTTCTGTCTAATTTTGATTTTTTGAAATCTCGAAAGAAAAAAAAAGTTTAAATTGTCACAAATGTTTATTTGATTTTTCTCGAAATAAAAAAATTAGGTTAAATTAACACAAATATTTATCTAATAAGGAGCATTTTTCAACACACCTAACAGTTCGTGAGAAAAAACAATTAATGAGCAGCAACATCGAAAAACTCATGAGGCGAAAATTCGTAACAGGCTACAATACGTAACAAGCGACAATTCGTAGCAAGCGACAATTCGTGCCAAGTGACAATTCGTAGCAGTAGATTAAGCGGGGAACACAATTTCACGAGCAGTATTTTTCTCTCACCGGATGTAAGCGCAGGAAGCAAGCGTATTCTACTTGCCAAAGCCTTGTTACGAATTATCGCTTGCTAAGAATTGTCGCCTGTTACGAATTGTCGCCTGTTACGAATTGTCGTCTATTACGAATTGTTGCCCAACCGAAAAATTAGACTGATTATATTTCAGGTGTTTTCGGTGAAAAGTAATTGGCCTTATAGTCATGTAGTTTTCAAGAAATTAAGATTGACATTTATTGATATAAAGTAAACCAAATTTGATATTGTTCACTTTCGAAATGACATTTTTTTCGCGTTTTCTCGCGCAATTTGCACCTTTGTTGAAGAGCGTAACTTGATTTCCATACAGCAAATGAAACTGATGTGAACTTAAGAAAAATCAGAAATGAGAACGCAAAAAACTCGAACGTGAACAATTATCAAAACTTTAAACGAAGAAACCTAGCCAACATTAAGTTATAAAAGTGTCAGTGATCTCAAAGAAACAGATAAAATGGATACTATTAATTTAAATCCAGCAACTATTAAGATTGAAATAAATTTCACAAAACTAACCCAGTTAGAGAAAACTATATCAAAAGGCAAGTTTTTTTCGATGGAAAATCAAAAAAATATTCCCACTTTTAAAATCGTTGAAATTTTTCGCGTAATTGCCTTGCTTTAAGCAAAATAAATTGAATTGCAATTCAAAAGAAATCATATGTCAATACACAAAAAATCAATTATGAGAGTGCAACTTCAAAGAATACAAAATAAGGCCTTGAAACTATTTGATTTTCAAGAACAATTAAATAATAAGACTTTTTTTTGATGAATTTGAGAAAACTGGATCAATCGTTAATTTTTTTTCCGCAGGGAAACTTGAAAAAATCCACTTTCGAAACTAGAAGTAGGTCGCGTTTTTTGAGACCTTTGCATTTTGCTGTTTGATAGTGGAGTTTACTATGTTTGTAACAAAAGAAGTCAAGAGAACTTAAAAAATCAAAAATCAAACCACGGAAAAACAAACTTGAGCGTGAATAAATTTCGACTTTCCTATAAAAAATACAAAAAAATCACCAAGCCCCCTATAAGAGTATTCACTACGTTCATGACTCTTAACAACACTACGTAAATAAGTATCTGCACCTTGTTCATGGACAACTAATACGGATTTTTCTGCACGTTTTCTCAAGTACATATTTTGGCGAATATCTATTTAGGCAACAATGCATATTGAGGCAGGTCTTGGCAGTTGTGTGACGAGCTCGGAAAACCAATCAAGTCAAAAACTAAACACAACTATGAAAAAACAGGTAAATTTGAAGACTAATGTACTACTTGAACCTTCATTATCGTAAGAAGAACGTTCAACCGACATCAACTTCTTCAACCTCTCGCGTCTAGTTGTACTCTTCACTCTTCCAATAGACCCCTGATGACCTTCGCCTATTTCACCATTCTGGAACTTCAGGTACTGTTTTGACGACACAGCGGGTGAAGCTGGTGCTATAGGACTTTCGTTGAAAATGTCCAAAATAGTCGATCCTCGTCGTTCAAACCTGGCGTACGTTGATATATCCGGTTCTGAGCGTCCGAGACCCGTTTTCATAGCGGTTAAATTAGAACGAGTGCCTTGATTTGTGGAGTGATAATACTGTGCCATTTTGACAAAATAATATATTTATCCCCTAATAGCAATTCACTTGGTCTGGTCTGAATAAATTAATGCAATTAATTTGAGAATACGAAATAATACATTATGCTCAAAAACCATTATACTAATTATGTTTTGTTGTTCGAACTTGTAGAGGTAACTAATTCAATGCGAAAGTTGAGTAAATGTTTACCGTTTTCATCCACATTTGATGGTTTGTTGAATGTTATATGACGCACAGTGCGCGACAGTTTGCTAACGACAACTGAGGACAAACAGTAACTTATCCTAGCTTCAATTTCTATTCTATAGCCTCATTCCTAATATGAACAAAAGCGTACCAAGTTTTCTTATCCCTCAAACAGTAAACCTGTGATGACTTCCTCAGAGCAAATCGTTTAAGAAGAGGAAAAAGGTATATTTCAGCCTAGCAACAAGGATCCATTGCTCGCCTCCAAAAAATAATAAACTAAGATTATAATAGCAGACCAAAATACGTCACGTTTACAACAAACCAACAAAAAATCCTGGCTTAGTATTTAAAAAACTAGTCAAAAGAGCCTTAAATTCAAATCGCAACAAAAGTAGCAGATAGAATGTTCCAATGAGTTACATTTGCAGTCTTTATGTTAACAAACACAAATCAGTAACAATTAGCAAGCCCGTCTCCAATAATCAATTAGCTCGCAAAAAATTAGTTGTTGTTCTGATCAAGCTATCCCAGCAAAGAAACTTTGAAATATTTCAATCGTTGTTTCATAGAGCGAATGAATTTGCAAAAAAGTGAAGTTTTTCTAGGCAAGCATATAAGCAAAAAAATTCACGTTGTTTCATAGATCGAACCAGTTGGCAAAAAGTTCATGTTTTTCTTTGTAAGCTATTCAAGCTATGAAATGAAATATTTCAAGCTACTTCACAGAGCGAACTGGTTGGCAAAAGGTTCAAGTTTTTATATGCAAGCTATTTGAAACACTTCTAATTTTTAAACATTTCCAATTTATTGCATAGACTGATTTGGTTCATGAAAAGTATAAGTTTTTCGAAGCAAACTATTGAGCTATGACACTTTGAATTATTTCCAGTTATTTCATAGACTGAAAAAATTCGCGAAAAACTTAATTTTTTCTAAGCAAGCTGTTTTAGCTATGGAACTTTCAACAATTCAATTAGATCACAAAGTGAACCGGATTTCAAACTGTTTTTCTGTTAAAGCCTTAAAAAAGATTTCCAGGTTTTCTTTTAGTTTTCGAATTAATATTTTTTTGCGCGAGCACTCTAGTCAAATATTGAAACTATTATGAAACAAATGAAAATTATGAAACAAATTATGGTTTTTTCAAAGATTGAAACGGTTCGCGAAAAGTTTAAATTTTCTAAGCAAGCTTTTAAAGTTTAAGTTTTCCTAAGCAAGGTTCAAAGCTAAGAAACTTTAAATTATTTCAAGTTATTTCATAGACTGAATTGATTCGCGAAAATTTTCAGTTTTTGTAAGCAAGCTGTAAAAGCTATGAAACGTTGAATTATTCCAAGCTATTTCATAGACTGAATCGGTTCGCAAACAGTTGAAGTTTTTATACGGAACTATAGTTGGTGCAAGACGGAATTCAGAGGCGCAAGGAGATAACGTGGCTCTCACTGTTGTATCATTCCGTTAGTTCATGTTTGTATGTCTCAGAGTATTGTGATGTTTTGGTGGTGTTAACAATATATTGTCTACCTTTTACTCGTTTTCATGGTAGCAGTCGGGAAAGTGTGATATAAGAGTCAATTAAGGGACGACAGCAGACCGTTCGAATCGTGGAAGTATGCAGTGGAGCTGTGGACCTGTACCACAGATTTAACCGGTGCCAAACAAGGCCCAGCAGTAGCACTGTATCTATCGGGTTCCAGAAGAGAAGTAGCTCTGCAAGTCCCACAAGCAGAGATCAAGTCGGATGAAGGCCTCAGTAAAGTGCTGAGCAAGTTTAGAGCTGCATTCGGTACGGAACGTAATGATCAAGCTTTTTCTGCCTCTGAAAATTTTGAAAGCCTGGCAAGAGTCAAAACTGCCCAAAACCTGCCGTACAAGTATCTCGGAACCGAAATGAATCGAAGCCGAAGCTATGGAAAGAAGCTGAGTGAAATAATGTTATTGGATCACCAATTGCAAAACAAAGATTCCCTTGTGACGATATCCTCGACACCCCAGGATCGGGGTCTGATTGGGAAATTGCTCTGGATAGTTGCAAACGGCACCACAAAACGCTTATTCTGTAGGTATTTTATCGTCAAAAGTGTCTGACTTCACTGTTGCCGACTCACTATCTCTCAATAAACTCGTTCGCACCGCCTAAAACTCAGAGTCTCAGAAGCTATGCTTTTTGCGTTTTCCACTTGATGCTTCGATTTGGAAACTCCTCGACTATTCCGACGCGTCGCCGGGAAATAACTCTGATGTTACTAGGCAGGCATCCTTCCTGATTTTCTGTGTCAACTCAACAGGGGTACAAGAATACGGCTTCTTTCATTGCCTAGAGATCGCATAAACTGAAAAATTTTATAATATTTGCTTTATTTCAATTAATACGATGTTTTTTGGGCGTTCGCATTATAGTTGAATTATTTAAAAAAAAACTCAAAACTTTTTTACCAAAACAATTTGTTGAACTAGTCGCAATCAATTAAATAAGTATCTCTGATTTTATGCATAAAGTTGTCTCTAGACTGTTTAGGCTCGATTAAAATTTCTTTAATGATATTCATTTTGAAATTAATATGAGAATTATATAGTGTCCGTATTCGCACAGATATTAATTTTTTGTTATTTCGTGTTATTTTTTTTGTTAGTGATTTTATTCTTCTAGTGGTATCGAGTGATTTGTCTATTTCTTGTTTTGAAATGAAATTGTTCACGCTGTCATTTTCATATTGTAATTTCAGCAGTTCGTTTACGTGTAATTCATTGATTGAGCAAATTCTCTTCGTTTTCTTATAGTCCTTATTTCTTGTGTTTTTTTGAGTCGAAACGCAATTCGAATTAAAAAATTTTGTTGTACTTGCAAACTTTTAAAGCGGTTTTATTGGCAACTCCGTATACTAATACACCATATTGATATATTGGTTGTACTAACTGCTTGTAAATTCTAATGAGAACAGATGAGCTGAGAAACCGTCTTGTTTGATAAAAAATGTATATGAATCGATTGCATTTTTTTCTTACTCATTTTTTTCCTTTGTTTGTTGTAAGTTTATTATTTTCCATCCATTCGGATATTAATACCAAATCTCTTTTAAGTTCTGTAGTTTCGTTGAGTGTTCCAAAAATATCAGTGCCATTCGCATAAAGAAAACATTTTCTGTGCTGTGGTATGTTGGGAAGATCATTGATATAAATAAGAAAAAGCAGGGGATCCAAAACAGAACCTTGAGGTACCATACAATGAAGTTTCTGTTGTTGAACAATTGTTCGAATGAAAGACATACTGGTTTCTATTGCTGAGGTAGGATTTCAGTATCATTCCGTTAGTTCATGTTTGTATGTCTCAGAGTATTGTGATGTGTTGGTGGGGTTAATTATATATTGTCTACCTTTTACTCGTTTCCACTCACCCGGCAGCAGCTCTTCTACATCATCCCCGGACATCCCGCTGGCATCGTCATCAATCCAACTTATTTTTTTGGCGCACACCTTTCGTATTAATCCCAAAACACATACAATATTGATTATACCTCCCATTGCAGAGGACATTCCGTTTGCTCCTCGTATATCTTTTTAATTTTTAAAAAGCGGACTGAAAAAAGTTCACGAAGCGCTCGCGCAAAAACCTAAGCAGGTTGACGGCAATGACACAAAAAAGATTTCTCAAGACAGAGCTCAAGCTGCAGCAAGGCACCAGTCCTGCCGGCCGGTGTTGATTCTTTGTTCCTGCAATAAATGACAAAAGCAACTAGCTCAAAAAGGGGACTATATCAGACTGACGAATCGTTGACCAAGTATTAAACACTTTTTTCTTTACAAAAATCAGAATCGAAACGGCCGTCAGTAAATAATCCAGAAGAGTACCATGCCTCCAGAATCACAACATTAAATAAACTCGGCATACCACTCAGCGCAAAATCAGGTTGAGCACAAAAAACGCCCCATAACAGCTGCTTAGAAACGTCTTAGAAATTGGGCGCTTCAGAAATTGCGCTTTCCGGGCAAAGACGAGTTGAACCAAAATGAGGGCATCAGAGCACTTAGATTCTGAAGTTCATCTCCCACCACCATCGTCTATTTTCTTCGCAATTTAGAATCAAAGCCTTATATTCCTAATTAAAGCTTAAAAAGACTATTACAAACCCTATTTCTTTTAATAATCAGCAGTCTAAACCTCAGCAGAAAAACTGCTCAACTCTACTGGAGCGCCATAGACCCAAACTAAAATCATCCTCAAAGCAAATTCTGCGTCTTCCGGGTCTTTTAACAATGTCAATGAACTATTTTCTTTTGCCTTTCATAATTTGAAGTAGCAAAATGTAAGTTAGCTGACCATGGCACACAAACCGGTTCCAATAGTCCTTCCCCACAAACCCCACGATAACTCCCCTGCTAAGTAAACTCTTCCTCGCTCCGCCACAATACCTCTTTTCCAGTTAACGTCTGTATGCAGCCCCTTCTTTAACATACTTTAAGCGATTAAACATAAAAGTCCCCCTCCCCACCAAACGGCCACTACTCAACTTTCTCACGTACCACCTTACACAATTTTGACTGTTCCAAGAATACCACTACGTTAACTCTAACTGATTTCTGACTTCGGCTCACCAAAGTTACGACGTTTATGACCAGACGGACTCCCTTGAAAGCTATTGAAACTTTATACTTTTGAATAAAATGGTTTCCGCCCTTTAAATTGGTTTCTGCACCCGGTAGAACCAAGCCAGAAAAATAGAATCTTTCGGAATGCTAAGATTCGGTATCTACCTTTAGACCACTGCTCCAACTGAGCTTTGTAAAATAATACTGAAATCATTGGATTCGGTTTAAACATCCCGATACAGCTCCTATATTTAAAACGTCAAATAGAAAAAAACTAACAATACGAAGTCTGAATTCAATAAACAGCAGATGCTCTGCTGGTTAATTTAAAAATAATAATTTCTTAAATTTTATTGGTTCATAGGCGCGAAGATTCTTAACAGAAGCCAGGCGTACCTTCAACACTTTCGAGAAAAGTATCAAAAATTAGGTCTACCTATATTTCTATGGGTTTGTGTCTCAAATGAATTTCTTCGCGAGCCATGGATGTAGCATTGAAACGTTATTTAAGAGTCGGTAAAAAGGCCGGCAAAACTTGGGTAATGCAGCTGAGTCGGAAAAAAAAACATTTTATCGCAAAAAAGGAATCAGAGCAGAAATTTCTGCATTTTAAATGAAATTATAGTTTAACGAACGTCGCTCACAAACTTTGTGTTGTGTTAGTTTAGATTCTTTTTGAGGTTGATTAATGTTGGAGCTTTACCTGCAATTTTCAACGAATTTATTGATGCTTGTATTATACAACAGTAAACATGATTGATCTGTGGCTTAAGTTTAGCTAAAAAATCTTGAAATTGGGTTCAACTTAGGACTTTCTTACCAATTTTAGTGTTTGAAAGGCTTGTTTTCTTGTAATCCGAAAGCTCTTTTTTTCCGGTTTTGTTTTTTCCAAACAAAGAAATAGTTTGTATCATGAAAGCACCATGATTTACAACTGCTGTCAAAAATTGCCTGGAAAATTTTGGTAATCCTTTACTTGCTTTGTTTCAACCACTGAAAATACTTCGCTTAATTTCACATTGTTGATTAAATCTCTCTTTGAAATCATGAAAAAAAGGCATAGTCGGCCGGAGCCAAAAAAATTCATGAAAATTCAAGATTTGCGTTCTCAGAACAATTGAGAAAGTGTAAGCTTTCACTTTAGGGTCTACGGCTCTCCGTTGGTTTTGGGCGGATTTTTTTCAGGTCTGGAGTAAGGATGGTTAAAAAATGGAATTGGAGGTTCTGAGAGTAAACTGTGAAGACAACAGGCGACGAATATGGACGATGAAAATTTTAACTTCAGTATGTAAGTATTCTGGAAGCTCATTTTTAAAAACCCATTTTGGCAGTAAGCGCGTCGTTTCAATTAATGACGTTTTACTGACTGCATAGGACCATATAGTACATGCAGTATTGTGCAAATAATTTATCTGGTTTCTTTTGTCGACCATTTTGATCTTGATTTTTCTTTCAATCGCTTAAAATTGGGTCAACGACTTAATGTTGTCCCTTTTTGAGCCAGTTTTTTTTGTCATTTAATGCAGGAAACATGAAACGACACTGGTTAGCAGGAATACAGTGTCTGGTTACTGCGAGAATTGTGTCACGAACATCAGTTCTATGGCGTACACGACACGCTGCATAAATTTTTTTCAAGAGCATCTTCAACTTCATTTTTCATCTTTGTCAGTCTACTTTCTCAAAATTAATAAGTTACACGAAAAGCAAAAGGAAAGTCCTCTGCATTGGGAAGATGGATCTAAATTGGTAAAATTTGAGACTTTTGAAAAAATGTTTGGCAGGAGCGTTCAGGGTTGAAGCAGTGGAACTGCTGCCAGGAGAGAGCAGTTTGATGATAATCATTCAAAAAGTGAACAAATGTTCAATGACCTCGGCTCCGTTGCTAGCCTCACGTTTATCCTCTGGGACGTAAGAACAGCAAATAGGGACACTTCATATTCTGAGCAGAATCGAGATGGATGCTTTTTTTTTAAGACCACTTCTGCGCGGATGATTATAATTCATATATTGCGCCTCTAGGATTCCGTCTTTAACTATAAGTAGTTCCTCGTGGATGAATGGCATTAAGACCACCTCCCTCTAGAGGTCGAAATCTTCCGATTAAAGTGGAATTGGACGCTAGATTTGCAGTTCTTGAGGGTACCCTGATAGCATACCACTATAGGGTTCAGAAATACAAGTTCGGTTAGTTTTTTATATCTAGTTTTTTGAAGAAAAAAAATGATAAAATCATAAAAAACGCCATATCCCGAAAACCATAAGGAGTTGAGCAGTCACACTTGGACGCTAGATTTGCAGTCTTTGAGTGTGCCTTGATAGCACCCCACTATAGGGTTGGGAATTTTACTTCGGTTATTTTTTTTTATATCTAAGTTTTTTGAAAAAAAATGAACAAATCATAAAAAACGCCATATCTCGAAAACCGTAGGTATTTGAGCAGTCATACTTGGACGCTAGATTTGTAGCCCTCGAGTGTACCCCGATAGCACCCCACTATAGGGTTAATAAATTCAAGCTCGGTTAGTTTTTTTATATCTAAGTTTTATGAAAAAAAAAAAAAAAACAAATCATAAAAAACGCCATATCTCGAAAACCATAGTGATTTGAGCAGTCAAACTTGGACGCTAGATTTGTAGCCCTCGAGTGTACCCCGATAGCACTATAGGGTTGAGAAATTCAAATTTGGTTAACTTCTTTTTATAACTAAGTTTTTTGGAGAAAAAAATGAAAAAATCATAAAAAACGCCATATCTCGAAAATTATAAGAATTTGAGCAGTCATACTTGGACGCTAGATTTACAGCCCTCGAGTGTACCCCGATAGCACCCCACTATAGGGTTGAGAAATTCAAGTTCGGTTAGTTTTTTTATATCTAAGTTTTTTGAAAAAAAAAAAGAATGAAAAATCAAAAGAAACGCCCTATATCGAAAACCATAAGGATTTGAGCAGTCATAGTTGGACGATAGATTTGCAAGCCTTGAGGGTACCCTGATAGCTCCCCACTATAGGGTTGACAACTACAAGTTCGGCTAATTTTTTTATATCTAGTTCTTTGAAAAAAAAAGGAAAAATCATAAAAAACGCCATATCTCGAAAATCATAAGGATTTGAGCAGTCATACTTGAACGCTAGATTTGCAGTACTTGAGTGTACCCTGATAGCACCCCACTATGGGGTTGCGGAATTCAAAATTATTTATGTAAACTGTGAAACAAAAACTGTGATAGTTTTACGTTGCGAAAAAAGGAAAAATGTAAAGAGTTTTAAAGCATTCGAGCTCAATCAGAATTTGAAACGCTGACTTGAGTAAACTTTTCAACCCTTGCATGTTTTGGCCTTTTAACACACCAGCATAAGGACTTCTTAAACCTGTGCTGAATGAAATTTCCTAAGCGTTTTAATGTACGATATAGCTTAAGCGTGCAAAAACACTTTCGTTAAACATGCAAAAAATAATACGTTGAAAAGTTTAAACATGCAAAGATAGAGTTCTCTTAAACATGTCAACATAAGGACTTCTTAAACATGTGTCACATTGAACGCCAATTAAATAATAGACAGATAGAATAGGACCTCACGATTTAGTACGGTAGTTAAAACTTAATTTAGTTTCTTAAAAAACCACGTTGTGGATATGTTGCTAGAATATTAAGGCAGTGTTTTCGTAGTTGCTACGGCGTTTTTGGTTTATTTTCCCAAACATTTGATAACGTTGAAAAATCTGTTTCAACCTGGTCCGAAAACTATTGACTGGTAACAATGAATTCAACAAAGGGACTCCAAACATCAAGCCCACTGGTGTTACAACATCACTCACACTTCAGAAAATCTAAAAACAATGCTAAACACAAGCACACCTAAAAATAGATTTAGAAACCTGAAGGGTTATATTCAAAACTGCGACCATAGGGGTTCGTTTTGAAAAGAATATCGACAAAAAATTGACAGCCAATAAAATACAATATTAGCTAACGCGAGAAGACTCCATTAAAAACTGCGTGTCTGCTTTTTTTCCACACATCAACCCTTCAGGTGCCAAAACTATTAACTTTAAGTCCCAACAGTCTATGGTCTCCATCATTTGACTGTCGTACTTCTAGGTAACTTAAGGTGTTAAAGACCTTTCGATGCGTTTCACCATCTGCAGTCCTAATTCGGAGTCATCTGAGTCTTCGGGTTCGGACGATGAATGATAAGATAAAGGAGATACCCTCCAGCCTCTCTCAAGGTATCCAGCTAGTTTGCCGACACTTGCTAGTACCAATCCAGTATACAGCGGCGAAGGTTCCATTGGCCTAGAAAGATATTCAGGGTGGTATTGAACTCCGATGAAGAAAGGGTGTTCAGTTGCATCCAGCTCGCAAATTTCCATTCGAACTTTCTCGACGTCATGACCAACAAACCTCAAAAGATTGTCTTCAAACTCTTTCACGTGCTCTGGATTGACTTCATAGCGATGTCTGTGTCTTTCAAAAACGGATTTCTTATCTTGATATAATTTCTGGACCGTAGAATTGCCCACTTTAAAAATCGTCTCACGCTTGCCGAGTCTCATCGTGCCGCCCATTTGACCTGTATGGTGTTCTGGCATTTCTATGATAACTTTCTTCTCGCAATTTGGATCATTTTCAGTCGTATTCGCGTCAGTCCAGTTAAGAACATTCCTAGCAAATTCGATTACCATCAGCTGCATACCCAGGCATATTCCAAGCAAAGGCTTTTTATTAGTTCGAGCCCATTGGATTGCGGACAACTTTCCATCGCATCCTCTCATTCCAAAACCACCAGGAATCAAAACCCCATCGACAGAACACAATCGCTTCCACGCGTCATGGTAAGCAATGGAGTCCTTACTTTTGGTAGCTTCTTCAAGACTGCTAGCCGACAAGAGATCCAGATCCAAACTGAAGTTTGCATGCAAACAAGCATGCTGAAGAGCTTTAATTACAGAGGCATAAGCATCGGCTAGTTGTGAATACTTCCCAACTATTGCGATCTTACAGGGCCGCATACTTTTATCGCTTTTGCTCCCAAGTCTGTTCCATTGCTTTAATAAAGAGTTTTCCGGTTTGATGTTCAAATTGAGGCGTTTCTTCAAAATATCGATCACACCCGTTCGATATAACACAGAAGGCACTTTAAGAACACTGCTGCAATCAGGCAAAATGAGAACTTCGTCAAAGTTAACGTGACAAAACATGGCAATTTTATCTTGAACTTTGGGAGCAATTTCTGCTTTACAGCGGCATACTACTAGATCTGGAGACAGGCCAGCTCTCCTAAGTTCTCGTACACTAGCTTGCGTCGGCTTGGATTTGTCTTCCCCGTTGATATTTGGTATGAGACTCACATGTATGTTGCAGAAATTTTCCCTTCCAACACGAAACTGGAACTGTCTGAAGGCCTCGATAAATGGCATGCCTTCTATATCACCAATGGTACCTCCCAGCTCAATTATACATACTTCAGGCGGAAGATTATCATCTGATTTTGGATCGGTTGGGACTCCTGCAACACGCTCAACCCAATTTTGAATTTCATCAGTGATATGCGGAACAACTTGGACAGTTTTACCTAAATAGTCTCCACGTCGTTCTTTGTTGATAACACTTTGGTATATTTTGCCTGTTGTGATGTTATTATCTCTTCCTAGCTTGATCCCAATGAATCTCTCATAGTTACCAAGATCCAAATCAACCTCTCCTCCATCGTCCAGAACAAATACCTCGCCGTGTTCATAGGGCGAGAACGTTCCAGCATCTATGTTGACATATGGATCGATTTTGATAGTTGTGACTCTGATATTGCACGCTTTGAGGAGAGCTCCGACACTACTGGAGAAAACACCTTTACCGATGCCACTAATAACACCTCCTGTTACAAGGATATATTTAGTGCCTAATGGGTTCACTCCGCAGAGTCGGACGGTTGATAAATTCTCGGTTATTTCTCCTCCGGATGCCATTGTCACAAACTGAAAAATAAAAACTAATTGACCTATCTTCTTTTATCACTCTACGTTATCGTTATCAATCGTTTCCACGCTTTTAAATCACTTCTGCAATGCCTTGTTATAAGCCAATTTGATTACGCATCTTTGTTCTTCAGCAGTAATAACGAGGCTCTATAAAATCGTTGAACTGGACTGGACACACACACACGAATCATAGTGTCTTATAAGAAGACAGCAATATATCATTAGCATGAAAAAATGCATTAAAAAGAGTTCAATTATTTGCATGTATACAATAGAGGCAAAAACTTTCCGTGGAAAAATTCAGCTAAATAGAGTAAACTTTAGCATCAATGAGAGAACATATAGTAGTTTGCCATTCCCCCAGGTTGGCATAGCGGAACCTTCCGTCGCAGCACGAAAACGACATTAGAGGCCTTAGTCGTCATATATTGATGTGAAGGAGGCTAGAATATTCTAGAAGAAAATTTTTAGAAAAATTCGAATTGGGACGTTACATTTCTGAGAAATGCAGAAACGGCCATGTTTAGCCGGAAAATAGAGAAAAAACGCAACAACAACCGAATTAGTGAGAGACAGACGGTCGAGAAAATTGAAAGAAAAAAGCGAAGCCTCTTATCGTGACAATCACGCACGATAAGCCACTTAACTGAGGTAATTAGCCAGAAAGGAGGCTTCAGTGGGGCAGACGGAAGGAGCAGTACCCTCCCGTGCCCCGAAGTTATAACGACGTAATTACTGGAAGAGCGCGGAAGCGGAGGCTCGGGCCCCCAGAGACTGGCATATGGTGAAAGACTATAGTACACTAAATTTTTAGCTACTCTGATGTCCTAAACATTTGAATTAACAACGATATTGTTTGTTATTTTAATAATATTATGTGAATTCAACATCTCAATGAGACAAAAAGTGGAAAAAAAGAGTTTTTATTAAGTACCACTTCCAATATCAGTACCGCTCATGGATCAAGTGTCAACCTGTAAATTTCCTTGACTTTTTGCTGGATTGTTTGTAACAGTCGCCTACTTCGGTCACATATGAGGTTAAAGAAAAATAGGCCCTATAACCATTGGCTCAAGAGTCAGGGACACTATCTCTTGTGTTTTTGCACCTCGAACGGTCGGAGCCAATTCGGTTCACTTGCGACATGAGACTAAAAACCCGTTACAGCTTAAAGGCCACTACAAAAATACCCCCCCCCCCCCCACTCTAGAAAGTAAGAACGTCCCCATACTTAGTTCTCAAAATACCCAAAATACGCGAACGCCGTTAAAAACAGGGTCGGAACAGTCCTTACAGTTATTTTTTATTAGACAGTGGAACTTTGATCCATTTCAGATGGATCAACCTATAACTCTCCTTACCTCAACATAACAATCATAAAACACACTCAAGAAAACTAAATTGAGTACTCACATATCGGCACACTCGAGAATTGGGACCAATAAATTAATCAGTAGCTCTAGCATTAAGTATAATAACTTGAGAAGTTTGCTACTAATAAATTCCAGCAAGCGAAATAAGTTTTGACTCCAGAATTAAATTTTGGAACTGGACCATTGGGATAACCCAGCTGTCCACCTTTCCACTGAGGGTTCACTCTGGTTCACTTCTTCTTTGTTTTTGCTCTGTTTACAATCGCTTTGCTTCCTATTCAGGATAGGACAGCTCTACTCGCGTTTGATTTATATCTGGAAATTGCGAATAGCAATTTACCGCTGCTTTTTTTTCAAGTACTTTCCCGCGATTGTAATTCGGTTGTTCTGATCTTGTTTTCCTGAGGTTTTCAGTTTTCGCGAGAAAATTGAGTATGACAGGCTCAATTAGTATTTTTGAAAAATTAAATTTCATCCCAAAATTACGTGTTTCGTATTCCTCAAGGTCAAACTTCCAAATATGACCGACTGGCACATACTCCACGGACTCAAGATCGATGTCCTCATCGCGTGTTGCCGCCTGCCAGTGAGTCCCCAGAATACTGAGTGTTGCTCAAGATACAGTGCAAGTGGTCATTTACAGAAGTTTGCAGCAGATTTAAATTTTATCTACACCCCAAAATTCACAACCATATAAAATTGTCACGCTATCGCTGAACAGCAATCAAAATTTTCATATACCTGCACCTTAAATCTCCTGCTTTACAAGCTAATAATTTAAAATTTCTTTTGCCCTATCCAATCAGGAAATTGTCATGCAACATTTTGATTTATAAATAATTATTGCATATTAATAACAATACTTTGTTTCCTTAAAATTCCATCCGAGTTCACACTCGAGCCCCTTTCTTTCCCTCTCAAGACTCAAGAAACCCACATTGAGCTCTCTGCTCATTTCGTATTCCTAGCCTTCGAGGTGCTAGGCCGTGATGAGTTTGACACTGTGATCTGCCTTAGCAGCGCTTCATCATCATCGGAGCTGATTACGATCTCTTCCCGCGCTTTTAATTGTTCGAAGGATTGCATCCACTCCCTCTGCTCTTGCAACCTCTTTGCCTGATTTGGTAAACCTTTCACCTTCAACTCCCTGTTCAAGCAAAAGGAATTGTACAGGCTCAAGCTCACGTTCTTCGCCAAGTCCTCCTCCAGTATCGACTCTCTCGCTTTGGTATTGTCTCTAGACACCCTACCGACTCTTTTCCAACCTGTCGTGATCGCATTTCGATGGGTCAACAGAGATCTCTTGAAGATTTCCGGTCCTATCTCTGCCAGGAACTGCCGATATTCTTTACTATGTTTTTTCATGTGGTCTTTTGTCATCATATACAACCAAGATGTTAACGTCGCTCGAAACCACGGAAAGAACCTTATGCGGCTCCATACGTGCCCAACTTCCATTATGGCGAATACCTTGCATGCAGTCTCAAACAACTCAAGTCTCCTGCTGTAATCTATAGCGTATATTGATTCCGCCGTTGGTGTCTTCGACTCCCGATATTTCGTCACATTTTCTTCGATCCATCGCAAGGCTAGCATCGTGCTCACCACCAAGAGTGTCACCTTTTGTCTGTGATCTGGTAATCCGATCGAACGAATCTCCTCCACGTCCCACACTAAACAGAGGTTTGAGTGCTCCGGGTACCACACTGTGTGTGCCAAGCAATGGCATGGGCATTCCCCATGTGTAATCTCTATGCTTCGGAGATTGCGTTCTCCCGAAGCTTCTAGCAGAGGCTCTAGTTCCGTCATTTTCTCGTGCGTCATATCATCTTCCTCCTCGCTCTTCTCTCTTTCTGTTATGTCGCCAAACCAAGCGACTAGGTCTTCTCTCTGGAAAGATTGTATTCTGACACATGATCGTCCATCACAGGTGTGCTCTCCGCCTCCGCACGTCAAGTCAAGACAGCTGCCAGGTTCCAACTTCTTCACTGATTCTAGCTTACTCGTTGCTTCGCCCGACTCTTTACTCTGTGGTAGGATCATTTTGTGTATTACGTCCAAAGTTCCTAGGTCCTCATCTTTTGTTGGTGTTAGCCTCACTCGTTCCGTGACTTCCTCAATCAAACTTGCATGGGGATGTGGACACCAGGAGGGTCTCAGCAATTTCCAAACCGTTCCCAAATTCATAGTCATCATGCCTTTTCCATTTCCCATTCTCAATTCCACTCTCTTGCTCGAGCGCGGTACGCTTATCACCTTGGTTGTCGCCTCAAGTAGCAGGCCTAGGCTCGGTTTCTCCCTCTCCATTGAATCAATTACGATAATCTTCTCTGTCCAAAACTTCAATAGCTCCATCACCTCGGGATTCCTGTGAGCGCTCCCGGCCTCTGAATTCAAGAAAGGGTTGTACGCTATCCCCATCACTCCAGACACATATTGGTACTCTCCTCGTTTGTTGAGTCTCGAGTAATCCTCAGCCAAGGCCAAGTTACGATGCACATCATGCCCCTCTTCAAATTTCTTGTTGTGGAATCTTCGTATTTCATCAAGTTTCCCATAATTATCTAGGGATTGCCATCTTCCTTCTCGATCCCCGTACTCTGGTACACATTCAGTATGACGGTGGAGAGTCTTCTCTCCCTGGTTTTGCTCCCCATGGCCTTCTGATGACACACTTGGACGGTACTATTAGTCATTACGGACATTATCCACCTCAAGAAACAAATGGCATCTTTTCTTCTCGCCAGACTCAAACCGGAATTATCTTTCGCGACATGCTGTACCAGCATCTGGTAGACTTCTAGACTTTCGTTGCCCAATTTCAATTTATCATGTGAAGTCAATACCTCCAATTCTATTCCCACATCAGCTGCCCCGCTGTTCTAACGAAGGGATTTGCCATCAGAGGCAATGCGGACGAAGGTGTTCTCATCGCCTCCTCAAAGTAATCCCGCAACAAGCTCTGCCAAGTCCGCTTTAGCTGACTTCCCAATTCCAACTTGCTGACCTCGGCTTTTTGTTGAGTAGCCCAATTGCGACGCTTGCGGGACACCCCACGATCAAGCTTCTTCAGACAGTCCTCCAATTCCTTCATCGTCTCTAGGGCCACCCACCAAGGTCGAGCTGTATTCCTTGTCGCATTCTTCTCAAGAGGGTCGCTGGTCACTTGTTTGCCAATAGCCTGATGCTCGCTCGAGATCCAATCTTTGCCAACATCCACTTCCCATGTTTGTTCATTCGTCGAACCCTTTTTCGAGCCTGCCTTCTGAGGTTTGAAATCACTTCCGTTACCAGACTCGTCGAGACCTCTATCTCCTTCACCACTTCGGCTAGCATCCTTGGTTCGGAGCTACTCTTGTAGGCTGCAGTCTTCCACCGCGCTAGAATCATGGGAGCAGTCTCCCTCAAGTTCTTCTCAGAGACAGCATCCACCGACGGGCTGCTCAACTCCTCTACCTCACGTTTCCTCTTCCGAGACTTCATACCTTTGCTTGGGGGCGTCGTCACTATCATCACAGATTCGACCTCTTTGTCCCGGTCCAACCTTCCCGACTCTTGCCTCCCCCTTCTTGAGCCTTAAGGATATTAATATCTTTAATCATATTACTAGTCTTAAGTCTATCCTTCTCTTTAACTTT